AAAAAAAATAATAAAAAAATGAACGAAGAGAAAAAAAAAACAAAAAAACTTGAGGAAGGGAGAGAAAGAGAAAAAATAGAGAAGAGAAGAGAACAAGCCACCAAGACGAGAGAGAAAGAAGAGAGCAAGACCCACACCACACTATCGCAGGCAGCATCACCACACCCTCAGCCAAGCGCCTGTCCTCTGCCCGCGCGCCCTCTCCTGGCGGGATGAACCTCAGGACAGGAAACTGCGGGAGGGATTTTAGCCAAGCTGCCATTTCCGGTTCTTGGTTGGCTAAGAGTTTGTTTGTATTTAAGGTGCGGTTTTTTTTTTTTAATGGTGGGATTTTTTTGTTTTTTTTGTTTTTTTTTTTTTTGGGAATGGTGCATTTTTTTTTCATTTTTTTTGTTTATTTTTGGGAATGGTGTATTTTTTCTTATTTTTTGTTTATTTGTTTTTTTTTTTGAATGGTGTCATCTCTTTCTTTTCTTGTTTATTTTTTCTCCTGAGCGCCATTTTTTTTTTACTTTCTTTTTTTATTGTTTCATTTCTGCTTCTTTCTTGGCTAAAAGTTTTATTTTTTCTAAGGTGTAAATGTTTTTTCTTGACTTTTTTTTTTTGGTTTGAATGGTGCCATTTCTTCTTTTCTTGTTTTCCCCTAAGGCGCCATTGTTTTACTTTCTCTTTTATTGTTTAATTTCTGCTTCTCTCTTGGCTAAAAGTTTGTTTGTATTTGAGGTGCCATTTTCTGCTTCTTCTTGGCTGCTTTTTTTCCATGGTGCCATTTCTTCTGTCTTGGCTAAAAGTTCTTTTTTCCAAGGCACTGGAGGAAGGGATAAAAAGAGGAAAATTAGAGAAGGAAACAAGCTACCAAGACGAGAGAGAAAGAAGAGCAAGACACACATCAACGAAGAGAAGGAGAAAGGGAGAAAAGGAAAAAAAAAGAAGAACGAAGAAGAACAAGAAAAGAAAAAAAAACTGGAGAAGGAAGAAAGAGAAAAGAAATGAACGAAGGGAGAAAAAAAAATGCAGGAAGGGAATAAAAAGAGAAAAACTAGAGAAGAGAAGAGAACAAGCCACCAAGACGAGAGAGAGAAAGAAGAGAGCAAGACACACACCACACTATCGCAGGCAGCATCACCACACCTCAGCCAAGCGCCTGTCCTCTGCCCGCGCGCCCTCTCCTGGCGGGATGAACCTCAGGACAGGAAACTGCGGGAGGGATTTTAGCCAAGCTGCCATTTCTGGTTCTTGGTTGGCTAAGAGTTTGTTTGTATTTAAGGTGCGATTTTCTTAATGGTGAACGAAGCGAGAAAATAAAAAAATAATAAAAAAATGAACGAAGCGAGAAAAAAAAAAAAAACTGGAGGAAGGGATAAAAAGAGGAAAATTAGAGAAGGAAACAAGCTACCAAGACGAGAGAGAAAGAAGAGCAAGACACACATCAACGTAGAGAAGGAGAAAGGGAGGAAAAGAAAAAAAAAGAATGAACGAAGCGAGAAAAACAAACAAACAAAAAACTGGAGAAGGGAGAGAAAGAGAAAACTAGAGAAGAAAAGAGAACAAGCCACCAAGACGAGAGAGAGAAAGAAGAGAGCAAGACCCACACCACACTATCGCAGGCAGCATCACCACACCCTCAGCCAAGCGCCTGTCCTCTGCCCGCGCGCCCTCTCCTGGCGGGATGAACCTCAGGACAGGAAACTGCGGGAGGGATTTTAGCCAAGCTGCCATTTCCGGTGCTTGGTTGGCTAAGAGTTTGTTTGTATTTAAGGTGCGATTTTTTTTTTTAATGGTGGGATTTTTTTCCTTTTTTTTTGTTTGTTTTTTGTTTGTTTTTTGGGAATGGTGGAATGTTTTTTTTCTTATTTTTTTGTTTTTTGTTTATTTGTTTATTTTTTGGTGCATTTTTTTCTTATTTTTTTATTTGTGTTATTTTATTTTATTTTTTTTGAATGGTGTCATTTCTCCTTTTCTGTTTATTTTTTTCTGCCTAAGGTGCCATTTTTTTTTTACTTTCTTTTTTTATTGTTTCATTTCTGCTTCTTTCTTGGCTAAAAGTTTTATTTTTTCTAAGGTGTAAATGTTTTTTCTTGACTTTTTTTTTTGGTTGAATGGTGCTATTCTTCTTTTCTTGTTTTTTCTCTAAAGCGCCATTGTTTTACTTTCTCTTTTATTGTTTCATTTCTGCTTCTCTCTTGGTTAAAAGTTTGTTTGTATTTGAGGTGCCATTTTCTGCTTCTTCTTGGCTGCTTTTTTTCAATGGTGGCCATTTTTTTCTATCTTGGCTAAAAGTTATTATTTTTTCTATTTTCTAAGGTTCCATTTCTTTTTCTATCTTGGCTAAAAGTTTTTTTTTTTAATTGCCATTTTTTTTCTTGACTTTCTTGGCTAAAAAGTTTATTTTTTAAAGGTACTATGTTTTTCTTGGCTACTTTTTTTTTCTTTTTCGATGGTGCCATTTCTGTTCTCTTGGTATAAAAAAAAATAAATGGTGCCATTTCTGTTCTTTTGGCATTTTTTATTGAATGGTGCCATTTTGGCTTTTTTCAATGGTGCCATATCTGCTCTCTTGGCTCTTTTCAATGGTGCCATATCTGCTCTCTTGGCTTTTTTCAATGGTGCCATATCTGCTCTCTTGGCTTTTTTCAATGGTGCCATATCTGCTCTCTTGGCTTTTTTCAATGGTGCCATATCTGCTCTCTTGGCTTTTTTCAATGGTGCCATATCTGCTCTCTTGGCTTTTTTCAATGGTGCCATATCTGCTCTCTTGCTTTTTTCAATGGTGCCATATCTGCTCTCTTGGCTTTTTTCAATGGTGCCATATCTGCTCCTTGGCTTTTTTCAATGGTGCCATTTCTGCTCTCTTGGCTTTTTTCAATGGTGCCATATCTGCTCTCTTGGCTTTTTTCAATGGTGCCATATCTGCTCTCTTGGCTTTTTTCAATGGTGCCATATCTGCTCTCTTGGCTTTTTTCAATGGTGCCATATCTGCTCTCTTGGCTTTTTTCAATGGTGCCATATCTGCTCTTGGCTTTTTTTCAAATGGTGCCATATCTGCTCTCTTGGCTTTTTTCAATGGTGCCATATCTGCTCTCTTGGCTTTTTTCAATGGTGCCATATCTGCTCTCTTGGCTTTTTTCAATGGTGCCATATCTGCTCTCTTGGCTTTTTTCAATGGTGCATATCTGCTCTCTTGGCTTTTTTCAATGGTGCCATATCTGCTGTCTTGGCCTTTTTTTTTCACAAGAACCATTTCTGCTTTCATAACTTTTATAAAATGGTGCCATTTCTCCCTCTTGTTTTTTTTTAATGGTGCCATTTCTGCACTTAGACATTTTTCTTTTTTTTTTCAACGGTGCTATCTCTACTCTCTTGACTTCTCTTTTATCTAACAGTGCCATTTCTACTTTCTTTCTTTCTTTCTATCCAAACGTTCCACTTCTTCTCACTTAGCCCTTAAAGAAAAAAAAGAAGAAAGAAAAAGAAAAAAGAAAAGAGAAAAAAGAAAGAAAGAAAAAAGAGGGAAGAAAGAAGAAAAAAAAAGAAAAAAAAAAGAAAAAGAGACAAAGAAAGAAGAAAGAAAAAGAAAAAAAAAGAAAAAAAGAAAAAAAAGAAAAAATCAGGGTTTCGCTAATACTGAGTCGTGTTTCGCTATTTTTTTTTTTATATCTGTTGTGTCTCGTTTATTCGTTTGACGCGTCTTGTAAATTCGGAGGCACTGAGACTGGGATTTTTGAAGAAGGTGTTAAGTGAAGAAGGAAGAGGAAGGTGTGAAGAGAGAAATTGAATAAAAGAGGAAGAGGAAGGTGTAAAGAGAGAGAGAAAAAAAGGAAGAGGAAGGTGTGAAGAGAGAAATTGAATAAAAGAGGAAGAGGAAAGTGTGAAGAGAGAAATTGAATAAAAGAGGAAGAGGAAGGTGTGAAGAGAGAAATTGAATAAAAGAGTAAGAGGAAGGTGTAAAGGGAGAAAATGAATAAAAGAGTAAGAGGAAGGTGTAAAGAGAGAGAGAGAAAAAAAAGGAAGAGGAAGTGTGAAGAGAGAAATTGAATAAAAGAGGAAGAGGAAGGTGTAAAGAGAGAAAATGAATAAAAAAAAGGAAGAGGAAGGTGTGAAGAGAGAAATTGAATAAAAAGAGGAAGAGGAAGGTGTGAAGAGAGAAATTGAATAAAAGAGGAAGAGGAAGGTGTAAAGAGAGAAAATGAATAAAAGAGGAAGAGGAAGTGTGAAGAGAGAAAGTGAAAAAAGAAAAGAAGAAAGAAGAAAAGAAAGAAAGAAAGAAAGAAAGAAAGAGAAAAAAAATCAGGGTTTCGCTAAATACTGAGTCGTGTTTCGCTAATTTTTTTTTTTTTTGTCTTTTGTGTCTCCTTTATTCGTTGACGCGTCTTGTAAATTCGGAGGCACTGAGACTGGGATTTTTGAAGAAGGTGTTAAGTGAAGAAGGAAGAGGAAGGTGTGAAGAGAGAAATTGAATAAAAGAGGAAGAAGAAGGTGTAAAGAGAGAAAATTAATACAAAAAGGAAGAGGAAGGTGTGAAGAGAGAAATTGAATAAAAGAGGAAGAAGAAGGTGTGAAGAGAGAAATTGAATAAAAGAGGAAGAGGAAGGTGTGAAGAGAGAAATTGAATAAAAGAGGAAGAGGAAGGTGTGAAGAGAGAAAATGAATAAAAAAAGGAGAGGAAGGTGTGAAGAGAGAAATTGAATAAAAGAGGAAGAGGAAGGTGTGAAGAGAGAAAATGAATAAAAAAAGGAAGAGGAAGGTGTGAAGAGAGAAATTGAATAAAAGAGGAAGAGGAAGGTGTAAAGAGAGAGAGAGAAAAAAAAGGAAGAGGAAGGTGTGAAGAGAGAAATTGAATAAAAGAGGAAGAGGAAGGTGTGAAGAGAGAAAATGAATAAAAGAGGAAGAGGAAGGTGTGAAGAGAGAAAATGAATAAAAGAGGAAGAGGAAGGTGTGAAGAGAGAAATTGAATGAAAAAAGGAAGAGGAAGGTGTGAAGAGAGAAAGTGAATAAAAGAGGAAGAGGAAGGTGTGAAGAGAGAAAGTGAAAAAAAGAAAAAGAAGAAAGAAGAAAAAGAAGAAAGAAGAAAAGAAAGAAAGAAAGAAAAAATCAGGGTTTCGCTAAATACTGAGTCGTGTTTCGCTAATTTTTTTTTATCTGTTGTGTCTCGTTTATTCGTTTGACGCGTCTTGTAAATTCGGAGGCACTGAGACTGGGATTTTTGAAGAAGGTGTCAAGTGAAGAAGGAAGAGGAAGGTGTGAAGAGAGAAATTGAATAAAAGAGGAAGAGGAAGGTGTAAAGAGAGAGAGAGAAAAAAAAGGAAGAGGAAGGTGTGAAGAGAGAAAATGAATAAAAAAAAGGAAGAGGAAGGTGTGAAGAGAGAAATTGAATAAAAGAGGAAGAGGAAGGTGTAAAGAGAGAGAGAGAGAAAAAAAGGAAGAGGAAGGGTGAAGAGAGAAATTGAATAAAAGAGGAAGAGGAAGGTGTGAAGAGAGAAAGTGAAAAAAAGAAAAAGAAGAAAGAAGAAAAAAAGAAAGAAAGAAAGAAAGAAAAAACAGGGTTTCGCTAAATACTGAGTCGTGTTTCGCTAATTTTTTTTTTATCTGTTGTGTCTCGTTTATTCGTTTGACGCGTCTTGTAAATTCGGAGGCACTGAGACTGGGATTTTTGAAGAAGGTGTCAAGTGAAGAAGGAAGAGGAAGGTGTGAAGAGAGAAATTGAATAAAAGAGGAAGAGGAAGGTGTAAAGAGAGAGAGAAAAAAAAGGAAGAGGAAGGTGTGAAGAGAGAAATTGAATAAAAGAGGAAGAGGAAGGTGTGAAGAGAGAGAGAAAAAAAAGGAAGAGGAAGGTGTGAGAGAGAAAATGAATAAAAAAAGGGAAGAGGAAGGTGTGAAGAGAGAAATTGAATAAAGAGGAAGAGGAAGGTGTAAAGAGAGAGAGAGAGAAAAAAAGGAAGAGGAAGGTGAAGAGAGAATTGAATAAAAGAGGAGAGAAGGTGTGAAGAGAGAAAGTGAAAAAAGAAAGAAGAAGAAAGAAGAAAAAAGAAAGAAAGAAAGAAAGAAAAAATCAGGGTTTCGCTAAATACTGAGTCGTGTTTCGCTAATTTTTTTTTTGTTTGTTGTGTCTCATTTATTCGTTTGACGCGTCTTGTAAATTCGGAGGCACTGAGACTGGGATTTTTGAGAAGGTGTTAAGTTGAAGAAGGAAGAGGAAGGTGTGAAGAGAGAAACTGAATAAAGAGGAAGAGGAAGGTGTAAAGAGAGAGAGAGAAAAAAAAGGAAGAGGAAGGTGTGAAGAGAGAAAATGAATAAAAGAGGAAGAGGAAGGTGTGAAGAGAGAAAATGAATACAAAAAAGGAAGAGGAAGGTGTGAAGAGAGAAATTGAATAAAAGAGGAAGAGGAAGGTGTGAAGAGAGAAATTGAATAAAAGAGGAAGAGGAAGGTGTGAAGAGAGAAAATGAATAAAAAAGGAAGAGGAAGGTGTGAAGAGAGAAATTGAATGAAAAAAGGAAGAGGAAGGTGTGAAGAGAGAAATGAAGAAGGAAGAGGAATAATGAATAAGAAAGGAAGAGGAAGGTGTGAAGAGAGAAACTGAATAAAAGAGGAAGAGGAAGGTGTGAAGAGAGAAAATGAATAAAAGGGAAGGGAAGGTGTGAAGAGAGAAATTAAATAAAGGGAAGGGGAGGAAATGGGAAGAAATTAGATAGAAGGGAAAGGAGGGTGTGCAGGGAAAGGAAGATGAGAAGAGAGAAAGGAAAAAGGAAGAGGAAGATGAGAGAAGAGAAATTAAATAAAAAAAAGGAAGACGAAGATGCGGAGAAAGAAATTGAATGGAAGGAAGATGGGAAGAAATTAAATAAAAGAGAGAGGAAGATATGGAAAAAGAATAAATGAAAGGAATAAGAACATGAAAAGAGAGAAATGAAATGGAAGAAAGGAAGAAGAGAAGAGAGAAATTAAATAGAAGGAAGGAGATGGGAAGAAAGAAAGAGAAACAGAGGATGCAAGATATTAAAAAAAAAACAAGAAATATGTATAAAAAATAAAATAAAATAGAAGGAAATGAAAAAGGGAAAACACAGAAATAAAAAAAGATAAACCAACAGAAAAGAAGGTCAAGTAAATAATCAATAAAAAGGAGAAATAGGACAAAGAAGAAGAAGAAGAAGAAGAAGAAGAAAAAAAATCATGAGACTCAAAGTAGGTTTACATCCCGCGAAATATAGCATCCGAACACCGCCCTCGTCCGAATTCGTAAGATCTTTATCGCCATTATCCCTTGGGAAGTCAAAAGATCTATAAAGCAAAGTATCTATCTGTTGGGATTAACGGGGGGATAGGAGGGGGAGAGGGAGGGAGGGGGAGAGGGAGGGGGAGTTCGGGGGGGGGGGGGGGTAATGCAGCTCCATTCAAGAGCCATGCGCGGTAACTGCCAAATACTTTCGGCGAGGATTTCGAAAATAGAAAAAAAAAAATCCTTCTCCGATCCTTCGAGGGAATTCGGACGTAGGTCGCTTTGGCAACGGCTTCGGGAAAGTCAGGTGGGGTTGTCTTGTGCTTTTACTTCGGCGTGGGAGCGGCTTTAAAACTCGGTAGTTCTCGGTAGAAAAAAATAAAATCTGGCAACAGTACTTGTCAGACAAGATGGCGGCGATGACGTCAGAGACCTTTTCCTTGTTTTTCTTATCCAGTGATCAGTTAAAGCATTCCTTCCCGCCAAATTTTTCGATAATGACTTCTCCAAAGAAAGCCTAATACTTATAAGAAGAAAAAAAGTCGTTAGATATGACATGAAGACGTATTAGCTGAGGAAAAAAGAGAGATGCCGGAGGAATGAAGTTTCTTCAAGAACTCGGGTGAGCCGCAATGACGTCACAAGATGGCGCGCATGGAATCTCACGGCCAAAGGACAGACACTGACCTCTTGTTTCTTATCAATATCAATTTTCTATTATTGGTTTTCTTCTGTCTTTCTATCAGTCAATCTGTCTGTCTGTCTGCCCCCCCCCCTCTCTCTCTCTCTCACAGACACGCTTTCTTTTTCTCTCTCTCTCTTTCTTTGATTTTCATTTTTTTCTCTTCTTCTCCTTTCTATCTCTCTTAATCTTTCTCTCTCTCCTCTCACCTTCGCCCTCCCTACTTCTCTACCTCTCCCTGCCTCCTTCTCTATCTCTCCCTTCCTCCTCCCTCCTTCTCTCCTCTCACTTCCTCCTTCTCTACCTCCTCCTCCTTCTCTACCTTTCCTTCCTCCTCCCTGC